CCATAGAGGAACCTCGGTTACTTCTTTCCTCACAGCGCCACCCTGCTGACCAAGCTCCCACCACAGGATAAGGACCCACTACTCAATGCTGGGGCCCCAGGCGGGTTCAGCATCTTCAGGGACCAAAGCAGCTTGAAGTGCAGGCAGTGCTCACAGGGGTCAAAGTTCAGGCCCCGTATCCATCAGACCCGGGTTCGGATCCCAGGTCCAACACTTACTCTCTGGGCCAGTGCTTAACCCTGGCAAACCTCACTTTCCCAGCTCTGAACAGGGGACAGGAATCGTGCCGACCTCACCCGGCAGTTAGAACCAAAGGCGATAGATAGAGCGGGTCAACTACCTAAAGGGTGCTGAGCCCAGGAAGCACCATTGCACGGCTGCCATTACTCATATTTACCACTGACCTCATTCATGGACCCCAACGACAGTTTGGATCAGTCAAGCATTTTTTTCTCTGAAAGGTTTGCCAACTCCATTAGGCTGATTATAGTCATTAAGTCAACTTAGACAATAACACAAGTTGAGGTGGTAAATGTCACAACATGTAAGGAGCCAGTATGAAAGCTTCATTATCATTTACCTGCACGTGAGCTTTTGACCTAATTCACCTGCTGTGAAGACTGGGGATGCAAGCACTAGTCCCCAGACAGTGGGCATGCGTGTGCACACCTCATTTTAGCCTCTCCAGTGACACACCGGGACTTGAAGTGGTGACTGCCACCTGGAGAGGCTTGTGCACACGTCACACTCAGAAGGCGGCTTGGCACAGGCCCTGGGCCCTGTCAGCTTCTGTAACGCCAGCCGCTGAGAGCACACGAGTCTCAGGCACGGCCCTGGTCCTCAGAAAGCCCTAGTGTCCTTCATAAAATTTACTTTCTCAGGGGGCTTGTTGGGCAGGTTTATAGGTAAATAATGTACACAGTGATATTTAAAAGTGAATTTGAAAATGAAACCACGTTTAAGACGATGGCTTTGTTTAATCGATTGTAAAATGCACATTTTCACCCCCAAACCTTACATCTCTGAAGTCAGGATGCAGCTTTGAGCATCTCTCGCATCACTGTCGGCTAGGTGGCAATTCTGACAAAATCGTCACTGCCACCACCCATTCATTTCCTTTCTATGAGCATATAATCCTACAGCTTACAACTGACAGCTTCTCACACCTGATGAAATACATGCAGCACATCAACTAGAAACCCATTTCGGAACCTCTGGCTCACTCCGACCACAGCCCTAAATGACCAGGTACAGCGCCCCCTGGTGGGAGGACTCAAGGCCAGGAAGGTGGGAGAAGAGAACCGCACCTGCTTTTCAGAGGGACGGAAAGCTCAGCCCCCAGGCCGTGCTGAAGACCTAGCACGTGCCCATTACGTGTTAAATGCACCGGGATCTCCCTCTGGAAATGCTTCTCCCAGGCCCGGCAGATACAAGGAAACCCCAAAACTTACCCTCTTGGGCTCTCTCTGCGGTAACTGTACGGAGATCCGCTCTGGGCATTCCAGGACCCACCACCTGTATGTGATGGGCGGGGCTTCTCGTGCTAAAGGAACTAAATTGTTCTGGGACGAAACTGCCACAACACTGACGTGGGTTTATATTTTCTACTTGGCTGTTCACCTAATGGGGGAGCACACCCCCTTCAGGCGCCTACACACGTGTGCACACCCAGCACGCCATCTCGTTGGTGCTGCCCTGTCCACGAGGGAGACCTGAGGTCCTCCCCTTCATTTCCCGCCTGCAGCCAGGCCACCCTCCTACCTTTTCCCACAGGCACACTGGGGGCGTCTCGCTCTTCCACCCAGTTCGAGCATGATGGCGTGGCCTCCGGGGGCTCCGGCTGCGATTTTGGAGGCTGAGCAGCACTGGGCGAGGCCGGGTCTGAGGACTCCAGTGGCCAGGGAGGGCTGTCTGTGGTTGACTTCGGTCGTTCTCTGGGACCCTCTTTCTTTGGTTTGATTAATTTGACTAAGGCTTTGGCTCCAATCCAGTGGTTTTTCCTATTAGAAGTAGATTTTTAGGACACAGCCAACCCTCACTGCCCCTCCGGTAGGTCACTGGGTGCGCTGACGCAAGCTGGGATTGCCATCACCAGCCGGGGAAGTGGCCGTTAATTTGGGGTTCAGAAGGTCGGCGCTCTTCGCCAGCACCACCATCATCGGATGTGGGGCTCAGGGGTGGAACACAGTTTGCAGCTGTGGTAGGGACGGTAGAAGCGTTCATCGTGGCAGGAACCCCCACTAGCCTCTCGGGAAACTGAACTTCAAATACAGCTCTCAGCTCCTGATCGCTGTAAAGTGCAGGGAGAAGTGCTGTGCTGATCTATGTTCGTTGGCACTTTTCCATCAAAATGCCGTTTTCAGGAAGAGTCAGGGACCTCCTCATTTTCAGCCAGAGTTAATAATGGGTGACATGGGCTGGCATACTTTGCCCATTCCCGGTATTGAGGAGTCTGGGTGAGGGGGGACAGGGCAGGGCAGAGTGGGCCACTTGAATTAAAAACAGTGAAGTTAAAGGGCAATACACTGCAGCTAACCAGAAACGGAGGCATTCTAATCTAACAAGAACCACCACACGTGGGTTCTAATCCTGGCTCTGCCACAGGACAGCACCGTGCTTACACAAACGGTTTAATTTCCTCATCGATGCCTCATTTCCCTGTCAACCGAAGGGTCAGGCGGAAGGTGGGAAATTCTGTGCTTCTGTGATGCCAACAGAGAGGCCTTGCAGGATTCATGGTGATATGACCTCAAGGCTGGGCTGGGACAGGACACTCTGAAGGCCCAGCTCCTGGGGCTCAGGGCCGCGTCAGGGAAGCCCTGATGCACGGAGGAGGCCGGCAGCCTCGGGGACCGAGCCGGCCCACCACCGGGGCTGCTGCTCTGCAGAAGGGAACGTGTTTGTGAACCACCCTGGGGTCTAGAGACTCCAGAGGAAGGTAGGGAAGACCAAGAGGTTCCTGTGACTGAAGACCATGGGTGCTGGCCCAGGTGTCCGGCCCACGCTTCCTTCCCAAAACAGAAACATGGCGTTCTAGGTCCTGAAACCTGGAGACACAGCCTGATAGTCCTGCTTTAGTGGCTCTAAACCACAGACTCTCTGCCCCTTCAACAGGACATGGCAGCTGGCCTTCGCCATCCCTCATAGGATAACGCTGAGTATGGACGGCGGGACCGAAAGAAACTCTAAATTCTTTTAGTGCTGGGAGACCTGCGCACAGGGGGCCTGCCACAGAGGGGAAGATGCGGGCCCAACAAACTGGTCACTGCGCTAGATGCGACAGCTTTCCCCACTCGTGAAAGAGCAAGCTTTCTGTCCTGTGCTTAAGTTACTGCCACTAAATCAACTCACTTCTTGGGAGCAGGATCATAGAACTTGTACTGATCCATGATTTTTTCTTCCAGTTTTTCCTTTTGTCTCTGCAAGGCATTTAATTTGTCTCTGTAAATAGAAAAGAAATAAAAAACAATTTGGTTTTTTAAATTAAAACATCGGCCCAACCTGGGACCTGGCCCAGAAGGGCCGGCATTTTTCTGGGGCTCGGACATCACGGTGCTCATGACGGTTGTGATCGCCGAGTCGGGAACATGGGGATGGAAGCACGTGACGTGGGTCCGGGAACCTAACACGTGGGGGAGACCTGCTGAAGCACCGAGGATCAGGCTGAACATCATTTTAGGAGAACAAACCCCCAACCACCTGAAACTCAAGCTCGGAGACCCGGAGGACTCTCCGGCCAGCTCAACTCGGGATGTTGGGCACTCGGGCCCGACACAGGGCAAGGCTAGCTCCTGCGGGTACAGAGGAGCGATACCTTTAGTGGTGGGGAGAGGGCTGCCCTCAGTGAGGCAGATGGGCATTAAGGTTAAAAAAGTCAGTTTAGCCCTGACTGGTTTGGCTCAGCGGATAGAGCGTCGGCCTGCAGACTCAAGGGTCCCAGGTTCGATTCCGGCCAAGGGCATGTACCTTGGTTGTGGGCACATCCCCAGTGGGGAGTGTGCAGGAGGCAGTTGATCGATGTTTCTCTCTCATCGATGTTTCTAACTCTCTATCCCTCTCCCTTCCTCTCTGTAGAAAATCAATAAAATATATTAAAAAAAAAGTCAGTTTAGCAAAGTCAGACCTCTGACCTCAGCCCGTTCCAATGCTGGGTTTCTGATAACACTGCCACGGAAGCGAACTCAAAGCCTTCTGGGGGCTGACAGAGAAGATAAGGAGCAAAGCGGGCCTGGAAGGACCAGAGGGAGCGGTGGGGCCTGCGACACGGCTGAACGCAGGGTGCCTCCTGGGACTGAACGCAGGCCCTGCAAACCAAGCGCTGCTTTAGATGTGGTGGAACTTCTGAACGCTTTTCCAGAAGGTTCCAGAAACCCAGGTTGTGAAGCAAAAAATCTCATTTCTGTTGGCAATCAGTTCACATTTTCACAAACACAGAAAGGAACAGAGACACCTCTTAACCCTGGGCCGCAGGAGGGCACCCCTGCTCACTGGGAGAGGGAGCCTCGCCTTCCTGAAACAGACCGCACGGCATGCTTTCGTTTTGCCTTGTCCCAGAGTGGGGAGACAAGCGCCCCCCACTGGCCGCCAGCTCCTGTCCTGTTCCCTCGTGGACCTTGTGGCCCTGACAGCTCAGATCCTGGTTTCCTGGCTTGAAAATGAGTCCTCCGATCGAGGCAGCTGCTCAGGCTCCTTCGGCCATGAAGCTGCCGAGGTCCCACCTAATACCAGGGCTTTCCCGAGAGTTTATCATGAAGTGAGGAGCCCATGAAAAGTGATGGCTCGCAAACCGCTAGGCCCCTGACCACCCTGCTCTGCTCCCAGCGCCCTTGGCACTGTTCTAGTCTGTGTTGTTCTCTTCCCACAATCGTGCTGCTTGGCCTTATGCTAGAGTGCTTTCCTGTCTGGCTCTGACCAACCCTCCACTCCAGGTGCACAAACTCACGGAGGGCAGGCACCACAACCCTCCCAGGACTGGGGAAGACTCCGCTCGGAGCAGGCTCAGCAAGCCTGCCATCTCCCTGGCCTCCTGCAGACCTGTCTAATGCAAAACCATCATCAGATCACCCCCTGGATACCAGGACCCGAATCTTCTAGTTGGCACCTGTCCAACCTCTGCTGGTAATTTTTACCCGCTGCGTTACAGAGAGCCAACTTCAGGCCACAGTCATTTCTACCCCAAAACTACAGTGTGGCTTTCCACGTGAACCATCCTGGGTAGGTGCAACCACCTGTAGACGTGCAGAAGAATCCAAGAGAACAGTAAAGCAGCCCCATTACCCAGGGAGCTGGGACAGTGCCCCCGGGTCACTGTGGCCATGTCCCTCTGTCCCACATGGCCAGCCATTCCTGACCACAAGGAAGGACAGTCCCGCAGCACAGCACCGAGGGGGGAAGACCACCTTCGACCCACAAGATGCATCTCAGGTTACTTGACTTCCAACCACAAGGCTCCCAACACCAAGGCTCTTCCTCCCGCCCTCCTTTCTGGCAGCTCCTGGGCCTGTAGACCAGCTTCCCATAAACACTCACTTCCCAGTGAACCCGACTCCTTAGCCGGGCATGGACGCCTTCCCCAGCTGAGCGCCGCCTGCTGCAGCCTTCCCTCCTGCCACTGCCTGCACCTTCCCTGCACCCAGGCTACCCGTGCTCCATGTCCCCCCACCGGCCAGCCCATCCGGGTCAGCAGCAGCACCCCAACTCCCACCACCACGCTTCCTTCTAGGCCTCTATGAAGCTCCTCAACGTCTGTCTGCTGTGCACACAGCTCTGCTCACATCCCATCACGCCTACTAGTTCCTGGCCACCAGGTCACTGGTTCTGTGCACCTCACAGGGTCTACGCCAAAGCCAGGAATGTGTCATGTCGGCAGAGGGAGGACAACCATGGTGCACCAACGACCCTCTCTCCAGCCTGTTAAGGGAAAACACACAGAAAGGGCTCGGCCCGCAATCTGAATTCCTTCCCTAGGCACCACTCTACCGCCATCTTATTTTTAAAACTGAACTGAATTCCAAGAGCAGATTAAGAACCATCTGGCAGTGGGCAGTATCTTTGAAAAGCCAACCACCCCTACTTGCAGAAATCTAGAACCGTTCCAGGAAAACCAGAGGAGGATGTGCTGGGAAGATGGTCTGACCCCTTGCCCTTGGGACACCAGTGCGCCAGGGGGCTCTCTGCCCAGAATGTCGAGGCCCAGGCGCGGGGATGGAAGCCAGGGCCCCTTTGTGGACAGGGCAGCCACACCCCTTACATGTACTGCTTCTGCTCCTCGTGGTACTGGTCCTTGTTCTCCATGTTCTGCTCTAGAAGCCTCTGGTTCTGCTCATTCAACATCTGGATCTGGCTCACGAGGTGATGGTTTTCTTCCTCCAAGTTCCCCTTGAGGCGGGAGAGCAGCTACAACACACACGGACAACGTCTCAGACACCACGTGCCCCTGTGATCCCACTGCGGGGAACCTACTTCCAGAAGAAGAAAAAGGCCACGTGCACAAAGAGGGCCGTTTCGGTATCCAGTGGGAATGACCAACACAGCCAATGCCATGGGGACGGCCAAGTGCACCGTCCAATCAGGCAGCCACTGGCCACGTGTGGCCACTGAGCACTGAAAACGCAGCCGGTCTGAGCTGAGACGTGCCGTAAGTGCGAAGATATACAACAGATTCTGGGGATTTAACAATTTAAAAACATCTCATTAATCAGCTGTCTGTCCAGCTGGTGTGGCTCAGTTGGTTGAGCATCGTCTCATGCATCAACAGGTCACAGGTCTGATTCCTGGTCAGGGCACATGCTCAGGTTGCAGGCTCGATCCCCAGTAGGGGGCGTGCAGGAGGCAACCGATCCTTGTTTCTCTCATCAGTGTTTCTTCCTCTCTCTCAAAAAATCAAAAACATTTTTTAAAAATCTTATTAATAAGCTTTTTGGGGTTACATGTGATATTTTAGACATAACAGCTAAAAATATGTAATTAAAATTAATCCCACCTGTTTCCTTTAATTTTTAAAAAATTTTGTATTATGTATGCTGGCCTACATTATATTCCTATTGGACATCTCTGCTCTAGGCGGGGCTAGCAAACTTTCTCTGTAAAAAGCAAGATAGTAAATATTTTAGGCTTTCCAGGCAGGGTGGCGGTCTCTGTTGCAGCTATTCAACTCTGTTATTACAGCAGGAAAACAGCCAGAGATAAAATGTACATGCGTGGGTGTGGCTGTGTTAAAAAACAACAACAAAAACTTTACTCCTGGACACAGACAATTAAATTTCATACCGTTTTAATTGTCACCAAACATTATCCTTCTTTTGATTTTTCCCAACCATTAAAAACTGTAAAAGCTATTTTTGTTTCACAGATACATAAAAACAGGTGGGGGACTAGATCTGAATTTTGGGCTGAGGTTGGTCTGCTCCTGCTCTAGAATATCAACCTGGTTGGTATAGCAGGAAAGTCGAAACGTTGGCTTCACACAAACTGGGTTGCAACCCGCTACTTAAGAGGGACGAGGATGGGAACCCAGCTCACAACATCATTGTGAGAAATAAACGAGAGGACACGGTGAGCACAGAGCAAAGCGCTCAGCCGAGGGTTCGGAAAAGAGACAGGACTTGGCGCCCGGCCAGTGTGGCTCAGTGAGGGGCTGAGCATTGACCTATGAACTAGGAGGTCACGGTTTGATTCCAGGTCAGGGCACATGCCTGGGTTGCGGGCTCAATCCCCAGTGGGGGACGTGCAGGAGGCAGCCGATCGGTGATTCTCTCTCACCACTGATGTTTCTGTCTCTCCCTTCCTCTCTGAAATCAATAAAAATATATTTAAAAAACACACACACAAAAATACAGGACTTGGCTGTTTCCATGCACCGCCCGACCCTGCAAAAAGCAAAGGTCAGGTGAAAGGTGTTTCTAACACATCCCCTCCCGTCATGGGGTTTGTCCCTTCAAATGCCTCTGGCTTCCCCTTGGCCTCTGTGACACTCACACACGGTCTTTGAGCACAGACGCCAATGAGGACCCATTCCGACCTGGCTGAGCCACGGCTGTCGCCCAGGGCACAGGCCCGGTGTCCTGAGCCACCAGCCCCGGCCTCACCTCGCAGTGGTGGTCCAGCTTGGTCAGCGAGAGGTCCATGCTCTGGTGCTCCTCCTTTAGCTCGTCGTACCGGGCCTGCCAGCGGTTCACCTCCAGCTGCGAGTTGTTCAGCGAGGTTTTCAGCTCCTTGGTGTGGGCGTGCAGCTCCTCGCATTCCCCCTTCAGCTGCTGGTGCAGGAAGCTGACCCTGGAGGGCGAGAGCCACAGGGCCAAGGGCTGAGGAGCGCTCCCAGCCTCCGTCCCAGGTGTGCACCTTAATCAAAACCACAACCTCTCTGAGTTTTTCCCGTGTGTAAATGAGGGTTGAACAGAATCAGCGGTTTTCACATTGGGTCCATTGGGGTTCTATGAGGCTACCCCAGGTCACTTCTGTGGGCTGGGGGGACAGGACAGGCAGGCGCGGACACCATTTCAACAGAGCATCCCTGTAAAAGTCCTTTCTGTGTAAGGCTTTGGCATACCTGCCGACTTGGAAAAAAGGGTTCTTCTATTAAAACTCTTAAAAAACATTGAATCAGAACATTTTTGCTTTAAAACTCTATGTCTATGCCCAGCTCTTCTTCCAATTCCAAGCCCCTTTCTAATTTCAACTCCTGAGATAAATAAAATATGAGATTCTGAGTATGATGTAAAGCCACTGAAATCATCATCATCATCATCATCATCATCATCATCATCATCATCATCATCATCATCATCATCATCATCATCATCATCATCATCATCATCATCATCATCATCATCATCATCATCATCATCATCATCATCATCATCATCATCATCATCATCATCATCATCATCATCATCATCATCATCATCATCATCATCATCATCATCATCATCATCATCATCATCATCATCATCATCATCATCATCATCATCATCATCATCATCATCATCATCATCATCATCATCATCATCATCATCATCATCATCATCATCATCATCATCATCATCATCATCATCATCATCATCATCATCATCATCATCATCATCATCATCATCATCATCATCATCATCATCATCATCATCATCATCATCATCATCATCATCATCATCATCATCATCATCATCATCATCATCATCATCATCATCATCATCATCATCATCATCATCATCATCATCATCATCATCATCATCATCATCATCATCATCATCATCATCATCATCATCATCATCATCATCATCATCATCATCATCATCATCATCATCATCATCATCATCATCATCATCATCATCATCATCATCATCATCATCATCATCATCATCATCATCATCATCATCATCATCATCATCATCATCATCACTCAGCACTCCACTTAGGGGCCATTCCAAACAGCAACATCGCCACCAAAAAGCATGAAAACAGAACTCCATGGCACTCAACGGGCCAGAGGGACACTGGTTTGCAGTGTGAGACCTGAAACAAGGCAGCAGCCAAAGGTCTTGTTCAGCCTCCCCTGCAATGTGCCCATCGGCGACTCCAGTATCTCCCACTCTGGGCAGGCCCATGAAAGGCCACGGCCAGCGATTTGGGGGTTCAAGTGCATTTCAGCCAGGAGGTGAATTCACCAAGAGGAAATGCATGAATGCCGAGGACCGAGCGCCTCTCCCTCACGGGGTGGCTGGTGTCAGAGGATGAAGGGGTCCTCGCCCGATACAATCATCACCATCATCAAGGTGGGAGGGGAGGTCACCAAGCCTAGACAATGCAGCACCCCCGTGTCGCTAGTCCTCCCATCCCAGCCACCAGCTGGCGTGCCTTTACCTTGTGACCGTCCAGCTGTGACCATGACAGGGTTGGTAAAAATACACCATCACCAGGAGACTCGCTTGAGCTTAGCTCAGTGGGTGCTGAGTGAGTTGCTCTGAATGAAACCTGGCAGATGCGCTGCAGGGGGCGGAGGCGGTTACCTGTCTAGCTCTCCCCGCAGCCTCTGGTTCTCGCTGGTGGCCATGGCGTTGGTCTTCTGCTCCCGCTGCAGGGCCTCCCGCTCGGTGGTCAATACCTTCTCCAGCTCCTCCAGCTCCGCCTTGTGCTTCAGCAGGTCCTCGTGCCTGAGGAGGGAAACACACCTGCTAGGAACGGACACCCCAGGAGACTGCACAGCCTCCGTGAGCGGCTTCTCTCTGCAGAGCTGAGGGCGGTGGGGATGGGCAGGGAGCGGGGCCAGACAGAGAACGGGAAGATGGCAGATGGGACACATACTGGGCCAGCTCTGGGGGTCTCCTCCGGTCCCCCTCCTTCCACCCGACGTATCTCTAGGGTCCCTTCCAGTCCCTGTCAAAGCAGCCTCCCTTTGTTACCCCACTGGGAACCATGATAATATATTCAAAAGTTTCCAAAATTAAAAAAAAAAAGCCCAGACTCTGAGACTTTGACAGGGAAGAAAAGGCCTGGAAGCTGGGAAGGCACATCCCTGTACATCGGCAGCTGTGGTGAATGTCCCCTCCTTGTTCTTGGTTGGGAGAGAAGAGGAAGAGGGGGCAGGAGTCCCCAGGGGAGCAGGGACCCCAATGCTGACACATGGTTTCCCTGAGCCGGGATCAGCTGGGCACACCCTTCTCCCCTCGGGGACCCTCCCACCCCTCAGCCTCCAGCTGCACCAACCCCACATCGCTGAGGGGGACGTTCCATTCACTTCTCTTCCTGTGAAGCAGCGGGTCCAGGGGAACCACGAGGGGCCAGAGTGAAGGGGGACTGAGCCTGGGGGAGCCCGGCACGCACCTCTCCCCGAGTGCCTTGTGCTCCAGCTCCAGGGACCGATGCAGCGTCTTCAGGCGGCTGTGCTGGCCGATGAGGGCCTCGTGCTCCACAGACAGGTGCTCGTGGAGCGCGCCCAGGCGCGCGTGGTCCTGCAGCAGGGCCTCGTGGGCTGCCGCCAGCTGCTCCTGCTGCTTCTGCAGGTTCTCATGCTCGCTCTCCTTGGCCGCCTGCTGGTTCTGGAGCAGCGTGTACTGCGCGGTGAGCGAGGCGCTCTGGGAGCTCAGGGTGGAGTTTTCCACCTGCCGGGAGGGAGAAGGTGATGATGCTTCACTGGGCGCAGACCCCAGGGAGCCACAGACTCCCCATCCCTGCACCCCCGCACGCAGTGAGGGGCCAAGAGCAGGGCAAGTGCAGGCACCAAAAGAGCAGAGACCCTCAGGGCAGGCAAAACCCAGCCGTGCTGAGGACAGTTCTACCAGCACATAAGGAACTGCACTGGGAAGGGCCCAGCCCCCCTTCTCCTTGTGGCTCGGCCCCCAGCCCTCCTCCTGGTGACCGGCCACCAAGGTCCCCGCAAGGTGTCTCAGCGAGTTCTGCAGGTGCTTCCCCTCCCGGCTCTGCCTGAGGGGATAGTCCGGCAGACACGGACCATCACATGGTGCTAAACTGAGTCTGCGCCCCTCCCCACACACGTGACCTTCTTTGGGCCAATCATGCCCTTTCTCTGGATAAGCACCTTGGGTGCCCTCCTGGACGCCTGTTAAAAGCCTATTAGAAGTTAAATACATAGAAAATCAGAAAATCTGAAAAACACGACCATCCAATTTAACCTGCTGTTTACAGAACCATCCAACATCCAAAACTATCAGGAAAGTGAAGAGGAAGAAACCTGTCCTAACTCATTCTGAGGCCAGAATTACCCTGATGTCAAAGCCAGACAAAGACATGACAACAGCAACAAGACAACAAAAACGAAACTACCAACAAGACCCTATTTTATTTTAACAGAACAAATCCCAATCTCCTTGCCAAATGGCTTCCTGTTTACTGTCCCTGACCCCCGAGTTACATATTTTCAAACACTTTTCTCGGGCACGGCATTAATAAACGATCGCGCGTGTTCCCACATCTGTTAACATAACTATAAACCAACGCCCTAACCAAGGGGTCCTCAAACTACGGCCTGCGGGCCACATGCAAATACAAATATTGTATTTGTTCCTGTTTTGTTTTTTTACTTCAAAATAAGATATGTGCAGTGTGCATAGGAATTTGTTCATAGTTTTTTTTTAGACTATAGCCCGGCCCTCCAGTGGTCTGAGGGACAGTGAACTGGCCCCGTTTAAAAAGTTTGAGGACCCCTGCCCTAACCTGTGTGGCCCAGTTCTGCTCCATGCTCTCAACAGCCCAGGAGCCCCTTCACACCCGACTTCCCTGGTGGAGGTCAAAGACCCACAGTAGCTTTAAAAAGGCTCTGCCGGGCCCGACAGCAAAGAAGCCTGGTCAACTCTTGAGCCAAACGTAGTCGACCCCAGAGACTCTTTTCCAAGTCATCCCTAAGCACATTTCCAGGAGGAGACTGGGAAACAGAAGAGGCCGCAGCCATAAGCTCACTCACGGAACCCGGCTCACCAACCATCGCCACCGCCAAAGGCCCTGAGGCGAGGCACCAGTTTCCAACGAGCCTGTTCCCAACAGGACGCACGGAAGCCCAACGCCCCGTGCTCGGCCCTGCGCATCACCTGCAGCTTGGCCGTCTGGGTCTGCAGCGTGGTGTTGTGCTCCTGCAGGAAGGCGCTCTGCTTCTGCAGCGTCAGGATCTGGCTGCTGAAGGCCACGTTCTGCGTCTCCAGGTGCTGCAGCTGGTCCCTGAGCAGCTGCTTCTCGGCCTGCAGAGCCGCGTTCTAGGGGGAAGCACGAGGCCGTCAGACACCCCTGGCAAATGGCACACGTACTTGAGTTGTAAGGAACCCTCCGAAGGGGATGCTTTGGGGGTCAAAGCCTGCGTCCTCCAGGTGAGAGACTGTTCTCTCTCAGAAAAAACAATCCACAGGATTGGGGGAAAAACACACTTAGTTTTGGGGGTATGTGCTTTCAAGACAGAAAAGAACACGCATGAAGGGGATTCTGCCGGAACTGGGGTGCGTGAGTGTGAGGCAGAGGCAAGCGCGGCCTTGCTCTTAATGCTTTTCTTAGTTTCCGGTGAACACCTGAGAGTGCGTCTCGGTGAGCTGCTCGCACAGGATGCGAGGCCAAGCCCGCGGCCAATGAGGTGGCTGGTGCTCCAGGAGGCTGACCAAGACCTCCCATCGGCCACCACCTGGCCAGGAGCCAGGGCACGGGGGTCGCCAGGCTCCATGGGCTACCTCACTAGCATGGGCCCTTGGTCAAGCCTCAGACTGTCTCAGCTTTCTCGCCGTCAGATGGTGAAAACCATCACTATTCACTTCATACAACAACTGGGAGGGTGGAATAAAATCAGGGGTTCACACATACACTGGCTGACTTTTTTCTGTGAAGGGCCAGATAGTAAATATTTTGGGTGCCAGCCCTGTGGTCTCTCGCCCACCACTTAGCCCCGCCCACACGACAGGTAAACCAAGGGTGTGTCTGTTCCAGTAAAACCTTCTCATAGGAGCAGGCGCCAGGCCTGGCTTGCCGACCCCGGCACAGAGCACCGACACAGCGGGACGGAAAAAGTCCGGCGTATGAGAGCCGGCCAGGTCTGATGGGCAGGGGAGGGCAGGTCACCGTGGGGAAATGTGACCGCGCCCTTACGTGAGGAACGCTGAAGGAACCCAGAGCTCCCAGGACAAATCAAGAAGAGTCCAGCTAGACCGGGGTAGGTCAGCAGATTCTACATCCGCTGTCCTTTCCCGTGAGGTGTGTCACCAGGATGAGGAGTGGGATGGCCTGCGTGACGACAGGGCGGGGCAGCGACTCACGTTCCGCTCCAGCTCGATGGCCCGGTCCTTCACCCGGAGCAGCTCCATGGTGGCCTCCTTGTGGCTCGGCCCCCAGCCCTCCTTCTCCTGGTGACCGGCCGCCGAGGTCCCCGAAGGGTGTCTCAGCGAGTTCTGCAGGTGCTTCCCCTCCTGGCTCTGCCTGAGGAGCTCGCACTCCTTCAGCTGCGGGCACAGGAGCATAGAAGCAGATGTGGGGCGGGAAGAGGCCGGTGCAGCCAGGGATCAGCCCCCCACACACCCACCCTCCCCCGCAGCGGCTGGACAAGGGGACACCCTGCAGGAGCTCTGGTGTAGATGCACACCCACTCTGTCCTGCTCTCCTTCCTCCAAGGATGACAGGAAGGGCAGGCGCCTGGGACCCCATCCTGCCCCAGCCTGACGTTAGCCACACAACAGGCACGTCTCCTCACTCCCTGAGCCTCGGTGGTCCGCTCCCTAAGATGGAGGTGCACTGGGAGGAGAGGGACAGGGTGATGTCAGAAAGCCCCTATCGGCTCTAGAATCGCTTTGTTCTAGATTCCTTATCCAATCACACAACCAAGAAACGTGCCAAGGATTCATAAAGGAGAGATGGGAGGGTGCCTGTGTGCATGTGTGTGGAGAGCACTGTGTGGAGAACACGTGTATGGTCAGCACGCATGTGGACAGCACGTGTGCGCCAGGAGCAGACTTGCACGTCCTTACGCGCCTCTGCGCACCTGTGTGTCCCATCGAGGGTGCCCATGAGACTGTCTGGGGCCCCACGCCCGTTCCAGTAGGTTCTCACCAGGGTCCCCAGATCTCGCCTCCTCTCCCCCCAAACCTCATTCACTCTCTGGTTGTCCAGCCCTGACGGCATGATCCGAAATAGCTCCCTCCGACCCTGCGGCTCACCCACACCTGCTCCATGAGGCGGGCACCCAGGCTGCCCCTCTGCTGCCCGGGCGAGGCACCGGGAGGGGAGGGGCGAGGCAGGGACCGCCCAGCGGGACCCAGCGCCGTCCCTGGTGGCAGCTCTTACCACCTGGAGCTCCTTCTGCAGCTCGCGGGTCAGGCTGGCCTTCTCTTCCACCTGAGCCTCCAGGAACACGATCTTTTCTTCTTTCAAGGCCAGTGTCGTCTTTAATGCCAATTCATTCCTGCCCTCCAAGATCTTGTATTTTCTGAAAATTACAAAGACGCAATAGTACCATTTGTCTGCCTTTCCACCCACAAGCTCCCGACCTCCCAGCTGCCACACACCCCTCCCCGATCAGGCAGGTTTCCTCGGCACCGGGCAGCATGCGGCCCAGACCATCCCGCCAGAGCCCACCCGGGACTTGCTGTCAACACGCCTGCGACACCGTCACACATCACTGGGCAGTTGTACAACCATCGCCACAGGGAGGAGCCATCACGGGCTTTTCACAGACGGGGAAACTGAGCCTCAGAGAGGTTAGGCCAGCGGTTCTCAACCTGTGGGTTGCGATCCCTTTGGCGGTCGAACGACCCTTTCAATGGGGTCACCTAAGACCATCCTGCCTATCAGATATTTACATTATGATTCATAACAGTAGCAACATTACAGTTATGAAGTAGCAACGAAAATAATTTTATGGTTGGGTCACAACATGAGGAACTGTATTTAAAGGGCCAGAAGGTTGAGAACCACTGGGTTAGGCCATGTGCCCAAGGTCACCATGCTCAAGGTCACCGTGCTATTATCTAGCACGTGGATGTCGTCAGTTACAAGTCCAGCAAAAAATCCAAGACATTGGATTCCCTTGAAAAATGAGATCATGTAGGAAAGCATTGCAAGAAAAGGCTGCAATAAGCTTTTTTTTTTCTTTTTTTTTTAATTAAAGGGCTGGGGTGTTGGAGAGGGATAAATACTGGTAGGTGGGACAGAGGACTGTTAGGGCAGTGAAAACAGTATGTATACTACAACGATGGACACGTCATTACCCATCTCTCCAAGCCCACGCGAGGCTCACCAGGAGTGGTCCCTAATTAAACTACGGCCGCGTCAGTGCAGGTCCATCAGGTAACAAGTGGGCCACCATGGTGGGCGCTGGTGATGGTGGGGGAGGCTGCACCGATGGCGGGGAGCAGGGGGCATACGGGAAATCTCCATACCTTCCCCTCGATTTTGCTGTGAACCTGAAACTACTCTAAAATAAAATCGTCGATTAAAAAAGAAAAAGTAGCCTTTTTATGGACTAAAGAGTGTCCGTCCTCTCCTCCTTGGGAACCTCCAGGAAGAGGACCTAGATGTGAAGGACAACAGGCCCTGGGCTGTGAAGACGGAGCAGAGCTTGGAGCTGGGGCGGGGCGCACGCGGGGGCTGCGGAGCCTGCAGACCTCACGGGGAGGGGCCTCACCTGTCGCCGTCGCTGTTGTCGTCCTGCAGCAGCAGCTCCTTGCAGAGGCCGACCTTCTCCAGCTCCTGGCCCAGTTTGTCCAGCTCGCTGGTCAGCCGCTGACTTTTCAGCTTCTCCAGCACCAGCTCCTGGAGAACAGGGAGGGGACGAGCATGGGCCGGGAGAGCATGGCCCTTCTGAAGGCTGAGCCAGTGCCTTCCCAAGTCACCGGGGCTGGGCAGGCGGTTGATGGGGATGGGTGAACCCCTCTTCCAAAGAGAAGGGTGAACACACCCCTCCAGCCAGTGCAGACAACCCGGCCACACGGCTGTGTGCCAGGATGGATCCACTGAGCTCCAGACACAATCAAACGTGCGTTGGAAATACTGTTACGTCGATCTCTGATTAGTAGGTTCACATTCTAATGATCTCCTCTAGGGAGGACTGTCATTAAATGCTCGTTGCAGAGAATTTGGAACAAAAAATACAAAAAGGAGGAAGATTTCATTTTAAATTCTGCTTTTGATTAACCTTTCAAAAGTGGGTGCTGCTCTCACTGAGGTGGTTGGTGTAGCTAGTCCACCTGCTCTCACACCTTTTTGTAGCTCTCCAGTAGCTACAATTTTCTATTTGCATGCATGCCTACCCCCTCCAAACCCACAGGCTCGGACCGCCTGTGTGACAGAGAATGGTGCTCCCCAGACATCTTACCGGCAAATCTCCAGCCACCCTGCAGTTAGGTGAAGCCAAGTGACCGGTTCCAGCCGATGGGCTGTGTGTGGAATGACCTGGGTCACTTCCCAGCCGCAGCTGAGAAGAGCCGGTGTGTAACCTGCCAGCGGCCTTTCCCCAGCCATAGCAACCGCCCAAACCTTGTGTTGAGATGGTGGCGCCGTAAGATCAAAGCGGCTGAGTCCTAGTACAGGTGACAGGCTGCCAGGAGAGTCACCTGGACTCTTGTGAGTGAGAAGTAAGCCTGGATGTGGCGGTCCACTGTGATTCTGGGGCTACCTGTTACTGCAGCAAAACCTAACCCATGCTCACAGAGGCAGGGACTATGGGTCGCAGCTGCAAGGATTGTACTCTCGTGAGCATGAGACCTGTGCTCACCACATCCATTTCCCTTTCTTCCTGGAACACACTTCCCAGCCTCCCTTGTCGCTAGGTTCAGCCGTGTGGCCGGGTTCTGCCCCGTGAAGTGTGGTCTTTCTCCCTCACTCTCTTTCTCCTCTACTGGTCACATGCCAAGGAGCCAGGAGAGGACTCCACCAGGGGATGGCCGAGCCCCAGGATGGAAGCCTGGTGCCCCAGGCGCTGTACTCAGGGCCACCTGGGAACAGCCACACTGAACTCCGACACAACTTCCATGTCAGGCCATTCGGATGAAACTGCACCAGACAGTACAGTGGGGCCTTGACTTACAAGTGCCCCGACTAACGAGTTTTTCAAGATACGAGCCGTCTCTCGGCCGATTTTTTGCTTTGAGTTGCGAGCTAAAATTCGGGTTACGAGCCAGCTTCAGATACCCCACCGCTAGTTGGCACAGCGAACGTCACAGTGAACGCCACAACATCAGCCCAGCACCATGTGCCTCACTCGTTCACTTTAATGATTTGACATACGAGTAATTTGAGTTACGAGCTCCGTCACAGAACGAATTAAACTCGTAAGTCAAGGCCCCACTGTATTCCCTCCAACACGCTGCAGAAATGCCCATGTGGCCCAGGCCGAAGGTACCGGGGAAGCAGGCCACCCATTTACCAAGAAACTGTAAGACAACCCACACCCTTTGGTCTGTAATTATACTTGTAGGCTAATCCTAAGGAAAGAAATATCTCTGTGAAGGTGTACATGTCCAGTGTTCCTTAACATAGTGGATGGAGGCCCCCCACCCCCAGGCCAAAGCTGCCCGGAGGGTAGAGATGTGCCCGGGAAGATGTCCTCGGCACTATGCGGGGGATGACTCCACGCAGGAAACCAGGAGGGCTGACGTCCAAGCTCTCACCCCACAGACCCCGGCCCTGGGTTCTCCTCACACAGCTCCCGGCCACTCTGCCCTCCCTCGGTCGGAGCCCAAGTTAAAGGAGAGGAGACACACAAGTAAAAAGTAAAAGGCGAAGGAGATGGCCGAGGGCATGAAAGTGTGGAGATGAACTAGGGCATGAAAGTGTGGAGGAGAATTCAAACATCTTAAAAGACTGAGAGCAAGGGATCAAGATGAGGACGTGCTGACTTAAAAACCATTGGTACATCCACACCACGGAATACTCCTCGGCCACAGAAAGGAAGAAACTGTACCCTTTGCGACAGCACGCGTGGGCCTGGAGAGCACAATCCTTAGTGAAATAAGCCAGTCAGAGAGAGACAGGTACTGTATGATTTCACTCACATGTGGAATGTCATGAGCAAACAGAACTACCAAGCAAAACAGAGACGAACTCATGCATAGAGAGCTGGCAGGCAGCTTTGCTGGGGGGTGGGTGTTCGGGAGGGTGGTGGAGGGACTGAGCAAATCAGAGAAGAAAAAAGCGAGAACTAATGGACATGAGAGAACAGTGTGGTGATTGTGGGAGGGAGGTGGGAGGAGGGGAAAGAGGGCATAACGGGTATAAATGTTTAATAAAAAAATAAATTAAATAGAAAAAATAGAAAACAGCCCAAATGCCAAAAAAATAATTACAGTAAATGATATGTGGCTTAAAGCCTATTTAATGTAACGGAAAAAAGCCCTAACAAATACAATAGGGTTAGGATGCAGAGAGTAGGTGTCCTGTGTGTGTGTGTGTGTGTGTGTGTGTGTGCGTGTGTGCATGGATATGCGTGGGAGGAACGCTGGAATAACTATAGTCCGTGGTTATCTCCGGGCAGTGAGAGAACAGCCGAGTTTCACCCGGTTCTTCTTACCTTTCGGCTCTACCCTGTTTAGAACCAAGGAAGACATCGAAGGAGCACACACAGTCCCGGTTCTGTCTAAGAGCACACCCCTCGTGGCACACCTGTGCAGCTCTGGACAAAGACGTCAACCCCGCGTCCCCCTCGAGGGGCTGCCTGGACCCCGCTCACCTCTCCCAGGGTCGTCAGCGTCCTGGTGTGCATGGTGACTTGCTTGGTGAGGTCTCTGTTGTCCTTCTCCAGCTCCTTCAGCTTGGTGGCCGCGTCCCTGCAGCGCGCCAGCTCCTTGTCCAGAGCGCGGCTCTCCTTCTCGGCGGCGGACAGCTTGGTGGTGACGTCGTCCAGGACCGTGTCCTTGAACTCCACCTGCTGCCACAGCCGGTTCACCTCCTTGTCCAGCAGCTTCTTGTCTTTTTCCAGCTGGGCCACCTCCTGCTGCAGGGCCTCCTTGTCCTTCTCGGACATCTCCAGCTGCTTGCTGGCCAGCCGCTGGGCCTCCAGGTCCCGCTGCAGGGCCTGGTTTTGCGCCTCCAGCTCCCCACGCTCCCGCTCCAGGGCCTGCTGCAGCCGCAGGTTCTCGGCACTCACGCTCTGGTAGCTGAGCTCCAGGCGCTCCGACTTCTTGCTCTGGGCGCTCAGCAGCTCCACGTTTTTCCTCAGCTCCTCCTTCTCCCGCTCAAGCTCCTGGTTCTCCCGCTCGATCTGAGCCATCTTGGCGCCCGTGAAGCGCATGGCCTCCACCATCCGGCGCAGCTCCAGGTTCTCCTCGTCCAGCTGCTTGTTGTCCCGCTCCAGGCCTGCCAGCTGCACCGACACGTTCTGCAGGGTGTCCAGAGACTTCTGCAGCCGGCGGTTCTCCAGCGACAGGCCCTGGCTCTCGCGCTCCAGGGCGTCGACCTTCTCGGTGGCCGTCGTCAGGGAGGTGACCTCCCTGGCCAGCCTCTCGTTCTCCTTCTCCAGCCGCTGCATCTCCTTCTCCAGCCCCTCCGCCCGCGCCACCTTCTCCTTCGCCTGCTCCAGGTCCCGGTGCAGCTGCTGCCGCTCGGACTCCAGCGTGCTGAGCTTGCTGCTGGTCTCCGTCACCGTCTGGTGGAGGACTCTGTTCTCCTTCTCCATGTCCTGCACGTGGACCTCGCTGCTGACCTCTGACCTCTCCCGCAGCGTCTGCACCGTTTGGCTGAGATGATCCTTTTCTTGCTCGAGATCCTTGATCTGCAGGAAAACACAATGGAAATGACACAGGTGGCTGCACGAACGTATTTCGGTGATTTGGTCCAAACCCGAGGACTGAAGAGTAGGCCTGGAAAGACACCCCACCATGGACGCAAAGGACATCATAACATTTCCTAGAGGCCTGATACGGACACAAGGTGAAGGGCATGGAGATCCCCCTGAGACAGTTCAAGTCAAAACACATTCACAGCAGCCAGATGACTTAGAAACAGAAACCACACCTCCTCTTCCTTAAAACAATGGAAGTGATTTCCTTGGTGTTTTTTATCCTGGTCCACAAGAGGCCCGACGAGCTGGTTGCCCACCCCAGTGGCCGCTCCTCACGCCACCCTCCACCTGCAGACATCGCACATGATCTTCCCTCTGCCTTGAATATTCATCCGCCTCCACCCTCCGGCCGTCAGCATCACTGGCTCCTTCTCATCCTCCCGGGCTCAGTGTGAGTGCCAGCTCCTCAGAGAAGCCCTGCACCACGATTCTAAATGCCCTGCACTTAGCAAGACTCTCCCTGGACCCACGTGTATTCCCTCAATAGCACACGTCTGAAGTCACCTGGCTGGTCACTTACCATTCTGCCTTCTAGACTATAAGCCATGCAAGAGAGGGGGCCCTGGCCTGTCTCTTCACTGTACATAGCACTATCCCAACCCCACTCTTTTGCTCTACTAGAGAAGCTGAAAAATTCAAGTACTTGATACCCAGCCTCCCTTGCAGCTAGGGGTAGTCACGTGTTGGGTCTGGCCAATGACATGTCGATAGAGGGTCTGGGGAGGCCTTCCCTCTGTCTCTTTACCCTCCACCTTTTTCCTGCCCACTTCCTGGGGAGGCACAACAGCCACTGCCAAGGCTGGCAGAGCGGGAAGAGGGAAGCCTGGCCCCTGGGTGGCATCACTGAGCCGCTGCCCCAGCGCTGGGCTGCCTTCCCTGGGACATGATGCAGTGCCAGGCGAATCCACCCTGGAGGTTTGCCAGGGTTCTCAGGGTGACGCTGGACATTTGGAGCAGAATCATTCTTTGTCCTGCGGGGCTGTCCCAGGGGCTGCAGGACACTGAGCAGCATCCCTGGCCTCACCTCACCACAGCCAGGAGCACCTCCCCTCTCCTCCAAGTCCTGTCAATCAAAAACAAGATGGCCAGTGTCCCGGGGACGCAATATCTGTCCCCATCCCCCTGCTGAGCTGAGGACTGCTGGTCTGAGCTGCAGCTGAGTGAGGAAACTGGTCACCCAGGAATCACTGATCAACGACCAGGACACGGCTGTGATCCTGGACACTCCCTCTTGCAGGCAGGGGCGCCAGGGGAGGCCTGCGCTCTGGAGGGCCTACCTGCCTGGCTTTGTCCGCCTTCAGGGTCTCCATGTCACTGTGCAGCTGCTCATTCTCTTTGATCAGCTCCTCACTGAGGGTCTCCAAATCCTGGTTGCTCTGCTTTTCCTTCTGCAGCTGGATCTGCAACTTTTCAATCTGCAGAGCCGAAGACCCAGCCGTGCAAAGGTCAGTTTCAGGAAGTGAACTGTGTTTTACAGCGGACCCGAACCCTGTCACCCCACAGAACACTGTAACAGGCCTGTTCTCAAGGAACAGCCCTCCTGCCCACTTCTTGGGGCGCCACAACAGCCACTGCCAAGACTGGCAGAGCGGGAAGAGGGAAGCCTGGC